TGATTTTCTTCGACTGCATGCATTCTCGTTGCCGCACGCCTCGACTCGAAACCAATCTATGAGAAAGAAGGAGAACAACAATTTTGCGAGGACTTATTGTAGAGTAGTGAAACCATGTTTTGAGGATGAAAACAATGGAGTCGGGATTTTAGAAATTCAATTTTAAAATTGAATTTGTTTGTGCAACTTCCGCCTCCTTCCGTCGATTCACATCCTGTTGGTGGAAATCATCACACCAAACTTATTTAGAACCAATCACCACACTGAACTATCTCTTCTCCACCACAATTTATAGAATTGGAAAAATTGGATTTTATAAGTTAATAGAATTTGAAAGGGTTTTTATAAATAAAAAAAATGAAAGGTCATTGAAACGGTACTCTAATAAAATCATAAATAAACGGTTGGAGTTATAAAATCGTAAATTAATTATAATTTTCAATGCACATATCAATTTAATTATATTTTTTAATGCACGATTGTGAATTACTATGAATATTATTTATGTAATTTAGTTAAATTTAAAAGGGTATTATGGACTAAAAATGTTTTTCACAAATCCTTCCTTTTTAATATAGTATAGATTTCAATAGCGGTACGCTCTAAAAAAAAGTCAAGGAGTTGCTTGCATTCTAAAATGCCCTATATAAAGGGTTTGCCTCCTTCGTGAGTTGTTCCCTTCCCTTTTCTAAAATGCCCTATACAAAGGGTCTGCCTCAGCAAATGGACAAAGTGGACCGCAGTTTTTCGAACTTAATATTGAGTCCGAGTTGCTTACTGATTTGAGCGTCAGAGATTTTGTCTTCTTGTGCAGGTCTTCCTTAAAGTTTCAGGTCGGAGCGAGGACAGAGTTCGAGCTTGGCCTAGTGAGACATTGTGCAAATCTTTGCATAAACAGATGCGATAAGTGGTGCACTCCAAGATATGCTAAGAAATGCACTAAAGCTGCTAAAAAAACACATAAAAAATACATTAAAACTTCATGCGCTAAAGTCACACTATATAGGTTGGCAGAGCTATTTTAACGCAACATAGGGTAGAGCTATTTCAATGCAACATAGGTTAGAGATAGAACCGAAATATAGTGGTTACAGGTGGGCATCACCAATAGTCTCACACGCCATGAGGCCACCTTGGCTAACCACTTAGGTCGGTCATAGGTTGATCACACATCCGCCAACAACTTAGGTCGGCCTCACCTCGACCTTGCGTAGATTGGCTATGCCTTGACCATTATAGGTCGGTCGTACCTCAGCCTCACTATGAAAATAGGTCGGCCGCACCTCGACCAACAACTTAGATCGGCCATAGGTCAATTGTATCTCGACCTCACTACAGCCACACATAGGTCGGCAACACCTTGCATAGATCTGGCACATCCTGACCATTTTAGGTTGGCCATTCATCAGCCAAAGCAACCTAATAACCTCCCATGTCCATGAACTTCCAAGGTATGCATTTCCTCTCAAGTCACTATTTACTTCTCTCAAGTCACTATTTACTTCTCTCCAAGGTGTATGTATTTCCTCTCAAGTCATTATTTATGACTCTCCTCTAAAGCTCATATATTGAGAGTGTAGTATAGGGCGGTGCCATGTTGGCATCCACTCACCATTCCTTTTGTGTAGGTCACCTTTACCTCAACTTCCTGAGCCAATATCTCACGTACACTATCAACTCTCTTAATCTTTCAAACAACAAGATCTCGTCCTTCCCTTGTTCATAACTCATCGGATCACGACTTCTCCTAGCTAGATCCAACCTCTCCTTGATTACTGGACGATTGATCTACCTGAGTCAATGTTCTCTCTCTAATGTCGGTCTTCTTTGACTTGAGATACAAGTCGATGTACCTTAAGCATCTCATAACGATTTTGCAACGTGGCTCTTTTAGCTTTCTGCCACATAGCATCTATATATATATACACACGTACTTTAATTGATGTGCTAATTTAAATTTAGGAAAAATACATGGGTCATAAGTTATGTAAGTCATAAGCGAGGCACGTGTGCGCAAGTTCCTTGGTGGGTGTGGCAGCTGTTATATTATGTGTTAAATTTTAATTAAGTGGAATGAATAATGATGAAATATTATTATTATTATTATTATTTGTTTTTGAAAATTGAAGTGATGCGCGTAAGGCATTAAAATGATCGTGCGAGGGGGGATGTTTACGTTGGAAAAATTCAAAAAAGATTTAAATGTGATATTAAACATTAATGTACCAAAAACCAAACAGGCGTGACAGACATGTCAGGCAATTTAGTGGACTTTCTCAAAACCCCCTCTCCTTCCCTCTTCCATTTCCCTATTAAATTCCCATTTTCATTTTTTTGTTACCAACTTTCGTCATTTATTTATACATTAAAAACAACCGTTGATTTATTAAAATACAAAAAAAAACGTAATTAAATTTAAAACTTAATTGGTGGAGATGAAATTTGATAGGAGGGAGGTGGTGGCAGTCTGAATTTCTGAAACGGAAACACCGATACAGAGAAGAGTGTCCACATCAATTCAGAAACGCTGAGCTGGCTTTAAGAATTTTCACAACTGGACTCCACCATATTTCTCCATGGGTTTTTTTTTTCTTTCAAATTTCAAATTTCAATTTTCAACCCAACTTATTATTATTGCGTCATCCACGTTCCTTCTTATTCTTTGCTTCTCTTCTTCTCTCCGTCCTCCTTTTATTTTTTTCTCTAAACTTTTAAAAAAATTAAATTAAAACAAACTTTGTACAGAAAATTGATTTGAATTTGGAGCAATTATTAAAGCTTTATGCGGCGGATATGTGTTCCTTGTTGGAATTGGTCTGTTTATTATTATTCGCTCGCTTTCTCTACCTCTCTGGCCGATGCTGATTAAAAACTTCGGCCAGCCGAAGAAACCGTCCACGTTGCACTCTTCCAAATACTGACAGCTGTCCCCCACTTTGAATTCTCCATCTTTTTTATTTTATTATTTTCATTTTCATTTTTGAATAATGATGATAATAATTAATAAATAGTAAAATAAATAGTATTTTGGTGGTTGGTGTTTGTTTGGTGGTGCCCAAAAGCAATGCTTTTCGAAAGGATTTTATTCAATCGGGTCGCTGATGCCCTTTCCCCATTTCCCATCTTTTCAGTTTCATTCCTCCCCACTTCCCTCCCTTCTAATTAAGATGGAGGAGAGGATTCGAACTCGCAACTTCTTGATTTGAGATATATATTAATTACGGTTGAACTATGTTCGTTTTGACTTGTAAATATTAGTTTCAAGATTACAACAACAAAACAGTAATAATATTTATCCTTGCCATATTTTATTTTTATTTTGATGTCTGATTGTATTTTGATTTTTGATATTTCCAATCTGTATGTTCCAGGGGTGACTGTAATTATAAGTGTTAGTAAGCTTAGCTGACAGCTTACTCATAGTTGTATAAATGTGACAGGTTTATCCATTAATAAGATTAAGAGTTACTTTAGTTATTGGGTGGAAATCTTAAAAAAAAAAAGTTATTTTTTAAAAGTTTAATAACTCTTTAAATTTAATAACTAAAATATAAATTTATAAAATTTAGAAACTAAAATTAAATAATAGCATGCAAATAAAATTTAAACCTTAGATTTACTATTCAACATATATTGTTTTCTAGTATATATCATATACATTTTCCTCCCATTTTTATTCTTTTTAGGTAATAATTGGGACGAATATAATGACTTTAGAATTGAAAAGTGTTATTTGTTGTTATCATCAAGTAAATACAGCCACATTACAAAAAGTTTCACAGGATGGCACTATAATAACAGATTCAATCATGCCTGTCCTTAATTACAGAATTATTTTTATATCCCTGCCTTGCAATGCAACTAATCACACATTTAAAAAAAAATGATTTTCCATTTGATATTCTCACTTCACATGGCTCCGTCATTTTTAATCTAAATGTGAAAATAATAAGAAAATACATTTAGACTTCATCCCATAATTAACCATAAACTCATATAACTGACAAGCACATGGGATTCCCTTCCCCGAACTCAAAAAATAAAATAAAAATACTTCATCGGTAGAGGTAGAGATTATAAATATTAATATTAATTAAACTAAATTATTGAGAGTGGGAAGGGAAATGGTCAGACTCAGAGGTGTCATTTTAAATGGTAAAAATAGTGCGTTGACGTAATTGCCCTTTTTTGTAAGAAAGTAAAATAGTGAAATTAAAAAAAGAAAAGTATTCCTTACTTAGCGAGGCAGACAGCGAAGGAGACAGCCAACAAATTCCATTTATATAAATATGTAAATGTAATCGATTTTTTCCCCTCACTCACACTTTCCTCTGCCCTCTCTCGAAGAGAGAGAGAACGCGCGGAAAACCGCGTTTGGTAAACTCGAACAAAAGCAAGGCCAGGCCAAGCATCAACATTATTCAACCACAACAAAAATTTATAATCTCAATTCTTCCTTGTCTTCTTCTCCCATTTCCCTTAAAACCCCCCCGATTCATCTTCTTCACTCATCACTCATCGCCATGGAACCTCTGATTTCACGATTAGCCCTTTCTCTGCTGCTTTTCCTCCCATTTTGCTTCGGGATTCGGACTTTTCGCTCCGGCGAGGATTTCGGCCGATTTTTTGAGGCGCCGGGGTACCGGAATGGCGCCGAATGTCCGGCTTCCTCCGGCGACCCGTCCTTGGTGCACATCGCAATGACCTTGGATT